TGTGAATAGTGATTTTGAACATTTGGATACAGACCCTGTTAGCATTAATGAACTTGCAAGATTCTTTTTTGTTTGCCATTTCTTTTCTTGAGCTCCCTCAGATCAGATCAGTTTTAAGGCATCTAAATTGCTGTTATGCCTAATTGCCTTTAAACTCAAAGATTACTGCGTATGTCTTTCTGGGGTAACAGAATATGAGAGAAATTGGTGATTATCTCTTCACTTTATTGGGAGGCATATTTTGTAACTTACAGATCCTGTTGGGAGAGAAATACCCAGAATACCTGAAGGGTTAATCTAATAGACAAATTATTTCTCCCTTCATTCATCACCATCATCACATCATGTCATCTCATCTTCACATCATCATCACCACATCACATCATCATCACATCACATCATCACCAGTGTTAATCCTAAACATTAATCAAGGGAGTTTCCAGTATCAAAACATGTTTGGATATTTTTAGTGAAATATGGGGATCATAACTGACATTTATTATAAAATCATAGGGTTGTTTAATATAGTGCTTCTCAAATTTTAATGCCCATGCTCATCACCTGGATTGCTTATGTAAATGTAGATTTTGATCACTATATCTAGGATAAGACCCAATAATCTACATTTCAGTCAAGTGTTCAGCAGATGCGAATGCTGTTATGTAGACCATAATTACATAACAAGGGAGTAACATACATTGGGTGCTAGCACATACCAAGTGCCCTTAATTGTACAATTATCTCATAATAAAAAGCAGGTAGAAGTTAAGATACTTATTTGAGAGATTAAAAAAATTATAAAGCTTATATTAGAACCCAATTCTGATTTCTAGTTTACTGGATCCATTCTTTCTGAGTATTAGAACCTGTCCTCTACTCTGGGATGATAGCGAGTCATTAATTTATGATATTTCCACAAAACAATATTCAGTCAAAAAAATCTTTGCACATTTTCTTCCTAAATGTAAATCTATAATCTAATTTTCTTGAAAATTAACATGAATATAGTAATCTCTAATGCAGAGAAATGAAATGGACAATACAACTTTGCAAGCTTTTTATTTCTTTGCTCAGCTCTTAAAACTTAATATATGCAGCTAAACTATACATTTATGGTCTACTTCATTTTATCCTTACAGAGTCTGTGACATTGACACTCTACCCTGGCTTTTTCGCTGAAGGCCTCATTTTCTATTCCTGGAGCTAGCAGCATTCCATTTGACATTTGATGCCCAGGAGATTTTTATAGAATCTAGGTTAGAAGACTGAATCTCTTGCCACATATTTCTGAATACGGATCTATGTTACTTTTTCCAGAGGTCATCCGCATTTTACTTTACTTTGAAATGGCTTTGATAATTTAAAAGGATGCCTCAAATGATAAAAATTTTGTATAGTAATCACAAGTGATGAGAGCTTTTCACTTTGTTTTAAAGAAATTTTTTTCACATGAAAGAAAGCAATACTAATCCCCTCTTATATCTTAAACTTAAAGCAAAAAAATTAATGTTACAATGATAGAGGGAAAAAAAGTTTCCTACTCCAAACTGCAGTAGAAGTTTCCTTATGTTTTTGCAAAGATGAATCAGTAAATATGTTTGGAATAAATATTACATAACACTTAATATAAAGGTTTTAGTTCAAGTACAGTATTTTAAAGTTGCCTTTCTAAATATCCTAACAAATGCATCATTCAGTTATTTGAGCTTCTAAAATATGTTAACACATAATCAGCTTAGTTTATTGAAAATGAACTCACCTAAATTATTCTCTTCTCCTAGACAGAGGAAAATTGAAAACTATTATTTGACAAATTACATCATCCTTATATAATTATTGCTAAATTATTATACTTGGCACAAACTCATCACAGCTATAGGATATTTGCCAACATACACCGGCAAATTGACTTATTTAACCTTAATCAAATTAACTTAATTTGATTGAGTGTGTAATTAACTATCCCAGGTAAATATAAATGGTAAAATATTCAAATACACTTGTTCTAATACAATGACTCTGAATTACATATATACTTTTATATGAAATATTTTGTTCAATTGTCACAGAAATAATGTTTCACAAGAAATAATATCTACTATTGTTTTTTCTCAGGAAGCATTTTATAGGAGAATAACCTCCCCAAATAATAAAACTTGTAAATGTTGGAGATCTAATATACAACATCCAGATTTTTGTAGCTCAAATCCCATGGCAATTATACTTTTTCCATCTATTAAGTTTGATTAGACTCTATCTTGGTGCAAAAACCAGTCACCTTGGATATAATGTGATTTTGCTTAAAAGCTATTGAATTTAAGTTTGTAGCTATAAGGTAAGAGTATTTGCTGTTATATTAAATAAACATTTACATAATTAAAATTACATTTCTAAAGATGTTAGGAAAGATTTTCATCTTTATTTAGTTTTTAATTATCACAGAATTGTCATCTTCTATAGTATATCGAGATATAATAGTTCATAATTACTGTATTATAGATATTGTGCAAAATTATACTTCTCTATATACTTATCTCATTCATTGCTTATGAGTCATCAAACATTGATTTTTTTTTTGGGATATGATGGAATAACCTTAATATGCCTGACCCTGGAAAAGTCATTAACATGTGAAATGATGCTGTAGGTATGTTTTGAAGCTATGTTTTTGCTTTATAAAAGCTATTTTTAAGAAAACTGAGAAATAAAACATTACCTTTTTATTAGCATTTCCTAAAAAACGATGTCGAGGAAAGATTTGTTTTTAAATTTTATAGGCTGATTCTTTTGAGCATGTAAAGTAAAGAATCATGCCGTTATGTTCCAATTTGTCATTTGATTTGCTCATAAATCCATGATAGATTTGACATGCAAAAGCTATTTTAAATTAATAGCTCAGTTGAGAAAGCGAAAAACACAATAATGATGTCTTGTATTATCCACATTACTGCTTATCTTCAGGGTGAATTTTATTGTCCATAAAATTTATCTGTTTATTTCCTATACTTATATAGTCCTCAAAACATGTTAATAAATTCAATAAGGAATTATTAAAACTGGTTCATTTATAGTTGGTTATTGACTTCTCATCAACATTTGTTCAGCCTATTAACACTTTTCATATTTGACTCCATCAAGAAATGCATGAGGTTGTATACAAGGCTCCTAGAGCTTTAGCCACTTGCTTGACACAGCTTTCACTCAATATGAAAGTATCATCAGGGCCTTAAAAATCTGTCTCTCTTTAGCTTTTTTGTAGTCCTTCCATCTCCACTCCAAACTCCTATTCATTATTTTGCGTCAGGGACAATATGAAAACAAAGTCCAAATCAGACGAAGTTGATCATCTGGACAGCAAGAGTGATTTTCATTTGTTTGCTTCTGTTTTGTAATGTTTGTTGTTGTTCTCTGTTTGAAATTAGTGCCTGTGAGATAATAACAATTCATATGTTGCATTGCACTGAAGTTGATTTAATATGACAACAGTTGTGAAGTCAGTATCATTCCAGTCAGAATCAACTAGTGGTACATTTTAAATTGGAGGTAGGAAATAAATATCTTAAGCCCTTTTACTGAAGAGTAATTTTCAGCTTCTCCCATTAGGACTTTGTGAGGACTCACTAAGGTTCAGCTGGAAATAAAATTTGTGTAACCAATAATGGAAAAATTCTATAATTCAGATTTGCTATAACCAATTTTATTTTAGTGAGCATTGCTGATGATATTAGGACTTGTTCTAAAAGTTTTAAAAGGTGCCATTTTATAAGGTAATACATTTGTGTCTATTAAAGCTAAATGAAATTAAATGCTTTTACAGTCCAAGTAAATTTTTTTTTCTATTCAAAACACTTTCCTCCAAAATTCCAGACTGGTCTCAGTGGATTGAATACTGCCACTACCATAGTCTTTGGAGAGAAGGAATTAGATGTTTAAGCTAAGGGAATAAAATAATGCTCGTAAATTGAATTGTTGTGAAATTCTATATTTAGGATTAAAATATATTTCTATTTAAAAATATTCTATTCTTTCTATTTTTAAAAAAATGTACTTTTCCATTTTTCTTAGTTTATCAATGAGTTATCAATAAACTAGTTTTCTTATGTGAGGATATTAAGTTTATGTAGAGAATAATCTTAATGTAGTATTTTCCCCAACATCTACTCTCTTAATTAGGGGCTGTACATTATTATAGCATTTTAAAAAATCTTTCATCGTGGTTTAAAAAGTGCATAGTATAAACCCTCAAAGGCTCAACAAATGGAAGACTAGTCAACATTTCTGAATCTGTCAAAAGTAATTAGTAAAGCAAAATTATTAAGTAGTCATTTTATGTCAGAATAGAAATCTGAATGCCAAAGGAGTATTCTAATTTTATTTTTTTTTATGGATGAAACTGGCTGCTGGCATATATTGGTGCATATTTATAAAAATCCAGTCAGTTGAAAGTGTTATTTTGTAAATTATCATTTAATCACATTTGATTAGAAGAAGACATTAAGCTTTATGTTCTCATTTCACATTGATACAGAGGATAACTAAGGACTGGTGTATAATTATTCTTGTTCATTGTATTGTCTCTGCTAAAATCACTGGTGAAGCTAGACACGGGAATTTTAAAAATTTAATCTTTGCTCCATAGTCTCCTTTGTGCTGTATATTTTTAAATATCTATTTATAACTATAGTTGCATATGTTTCAAGCATTGACTTACTAATATTAACTAATTGCAAGAAAATAATTTCAGGGTGAGATTTACCCAGGGTAAGATTTCCTGAGACTCATAATTTTTGGAAAGGAAGTTGGGCAAAGAGTTTTGAAAGCTGCTTTAAGACTTTAATAGAGCTTAGTATACTGTGACCACGGGGTACAATGGTTTCTGTGAATGGAAACTAACACTTTTACTGGGAGCATTAGGGGGAGGGCTCATTGACAAGTCTGTTCACCATAGAGCTGCTTTACATTCCTATTGTTAAGTTGTCCACCTCTGTCTTGTCTTTCAGTCCTCCACAAGCAACCCAGAGAAGTGTGTCTCTGTTTGCTAGAGCTTGGCCGGATTGCAGCCAGGTAGGTCAAACTACTGTTACTGTCAAGGCATGGACTATTTAACATCTAAGCATTGGGACACTTGCTGGCCTTTTATTGCAATTATTTAACTTGGATTTTGAGAAGCTATTCCTGCAAATAGCGTCAGTACTGACATCTAAAGAGTAGTTGTTCAAACAGATAGCAAATCACCAATATTCTTAATATTATCATCTTGTCAAAACATTTTGCTGATATTCCTTTAATCAAATACATTCCTTTCTACCATTTTTTAGGGAGCGGGGAGACTCTTGTGAATGAAGTTTCCCTGTTGAAAAATCTATTCCCATTACTCTCCCTGTCTTTAACTCTCCCTATCTTTAACAATTCTCTGCCTCCTCTTTTGTTCCATTTTCCTCATTCCTCCCTCCTCCCCCTTCAACATCTCATCCCTCGGCTCTTTTAGTTTCTACTTCTGAGTGGGGGCATAGTTTTTAATAGATTCCCCATGGTGTGATTACAAAAAAGAATATTCTTATATAGAGTCATCTTTGGAATATTTTTCATCATAAATGAAAACAAGAAGTAATTGTAGAAATCATAATTGCAGCTAAATAAACAGAGGAAGAGGCTTTATTAGATGAGCTGACTTACTTTGGTTTTGTGTCTGCTTCTTTATTATCTTGCAAACCATTAAAAAGTTCTTCCGACAGTTCTTTGAAGCCCCCAAAAATAAAAATGAAGATGCAAACATGGGAAGAAGTCTTGAAGCAAAATTAAAATTCAGAATTAATTAGATGTTTTTTCATCCACATCTGGGTATGTTTTATGGTTGAGATAAGTTGAACCTAAAAGATAAAATAAGCTGACTCTGGATTAATTTCTTAAAGAGAAATTTATTTTTAAGAATCAAGGAAAAGTAAATACAAAGTGTGCAGGTCAGCAAATTACAGTGAATAGAAAACTTGCTGCCAATGACTAGATCTTTTTATTTCATAGAAAATTAACCTGTAATCAGAAGTAACTCTTAAGTTCCTTAAAACATCATTATCAACATAATCTTCACAAACCTCACTACAATGCTGAATGCAAGAAAAATTGCTTTAATTAAAAAATATATATTAAATATTTTGAATCTCTGTTCAAGAGGGAGTAAAAATATCAATTCTTGAGATATCTGGAGGTTTTCCTACTCTCTCCTACAACATTCCCACAGTTTGTGTGAAGGCCACTGGAAAGGGTCCCCTAAGCTTTCAATCCTATATCTACTCCTCAGGCAAAGTTTGAACTTATACTTGCCCTTCAGTGTTGCCTCTTTCTTGGGATCTGAAAAGGAGCAAGATACAGGTACCTATTGCTTCTAGAACTCTGTCAGAACCCTCCCTTACCAGTCCTGGGTCTACTGGCCTGAAAACAAAGCATGGAGCCGAACCATGCAGCCAAAGACTCAGCAGAAATTCTACAAGAATGGGAAAGCTAAAAATATAGGGGGTTAGGGTCTCCCCTGGTGGTGCAAGCAGTTGAGCACTGTGAATGTGTCCGCAGCCTCTGCAGTGCTGGTTCGATCCTGGCCAGCCAGCGAGGGTCCCACATGGTGCAGCGATCCTCTGTTGTGCCCACTGCTCCCCTCAGCGGTGTATTTCAGTAAGTCTGCTGTTCTGTTCCCCACTCTGTCTCTGGTGAATCCTCTCACCTTTCCATGCATCTGGCCTGTACCCTGGTTCTTGCATAAATAAATAAACAAATCTTTAAATATATATATATATATGGTGGGGTAGAAAACATATAACATAAAATCTCCATAAATGATCTGCTGTTGCTGAAATGCTGGGTAAAAAGAAATATGGAGAGTCTAGAGTTCCTACTCTAACAAATTATGCAGAAAACTTTTTGATAGTTGTTTGTCTTAGTTATACTAGTAGAATAGTAGAATATTCTAAAATGACAGATTCCATTTTGTTGCTTTAATAATCTAAGATTAGGAATCAAATCAGCAACATGATTATGAAAGCTGAAACATAGAGGTAGAAAAAGAGAATTTTACCTCCAGAATTACCTAGGGTTGTCATTTTCCTCTTGCTTATTTTATATCATTTGCCTGTTTTCTGGATTTATTTTATTTTGTGTAACTATTATATGCATACTCTGCGTCAGAAACATATTAACTGTGATGGAAGGCATGCTAACCAATGACAAAATTCCTATAGAAATCACTTTTCCTCCAGCCCTGTCTTGCATAAATTGTTCTTTACTATAATGTATAATGTATGAAACAAATTAAAATCCTGGTTAATGAAGGGGAATAATGGTAGCTTTGTCAGTTTCAAGGTGATGCATCACTTGAAGACTTTTATGTTTTGTTTTTTCCCAAATATTTTAAAGTTGTGATTTTGGAGTCCTCCATTTTTTCTGAACTACTCTATTAAGATAACCTGCACATATTTAATATGTACAACTTTATAATGTGGAGATATGTATACATCTGTGAAACCAATAAAACAGTCTATAGTGTAAACATATCCATCACTTCCAAAAGTTTTCTTTGAATTCTTTTATTATTATTATTATCATCATCATCATCATCATCATATCATTGTAATAAGAATGGGTGGCTCCATTTCTAATCACACTTATGACCATTTGATCTGGTGAAAGCAGTGATTTTTCATGTTACAAAAAAATTACTAATTCATAATCACATTACAAAAATATTACTAATTCTACAAAGACATTGTCTAAGGATTTAGATAAACTTTACAATACTCAATTTGTAAAATTTGCTTTTTGCTTTCTCCACCTATGTGAGTTATAGAAAGTATTAAACATTTATACTGAAAGAGAAAAAAATATGCAAAGAGTTTATTTAGGGTGTTACTTTTGTTGTATGAAGCATAAAATTAAAAATAATTGAATGCCAATTGGATGAACTGTTTTTCTCTATACATATTTGTTTCTCTCTATACATATTTGAAAATATTTTGTTTTAATGGGAGCTCAACTGTGTTTTATAAAGAGCAACCAGTGTACCCAAATCTTACTGTCTTGCCCCTGTGCTGAAAGATACTAGTTAAAGGAAAAGGGAAATTCATCTCTCTGATCTAACTCCTTCATTTTGCTGCAGATATGTTAGACCTATAACTCCTATACATGTTCTTCTTCCTGCCCTCCTCCTCCATGGAGAAGTACATAAATAATTAAGACAACTTGAGTCAAAACTAGAAGTGACTTTGGGGGAGCTCTCAAGAATCACATCATTGATTTTCATCCATAACAGATAAAATTTTACCATAACTAACTCCCCACTATAATCATGTGAGTATTGTATTTTTAAATCACTGGTTTTTATATTAGTTTCTAAACATTTACTTCTCAAAATTACATAAATGTCAGCTTAAAAGTGTCAACATCACTTTGGAAATGATCCCAAAAAATGTTTCTGAGTCTCTGCCATGTTTTCTGCCTGGGAACACTCAGTGGTGCTTGTTTGGAGCTGTGGGCTGCTCTGAGATGGGAGAATCAGACCACTTATTCTTATTCTCATGAGTAAAACTTCCTTTTGTTTTCAACTAAATAGAGCTATCATCACTGGAGAGTGAAATCTCTCCATTAATATTTCAGAAACTATGTCAGTTTCTGAATGTGAACTATGCTTGTTTGCCTTCTGAAAAGTAAAACACAGCAAAGCAGGTCAGTAAAACCTCTAAGATCTTTTTAATGATAGTGCTTTAATATTCAGTGCTGAAAAAGTCACACACATTCAACATTTACACAAACTGTAAATTTAATGTTATTTTTGATATTTTTGATATTTTGTACTAGGGAAATAATAATCAAACTTCACAGTGGAACTTTTTACATATACTTTTTATGTAAGTCTTTGATGTTGAACAAAACTTACAACCTTTAGAAAGATATATACTTTGTGAATATTTTTCTTAGTCTCCTATTTCAGTCCATGATCTAATGAATATTTACTTCAAAGAAAAAGATATTTTTATACAGGACCTCCAGATGTCTCAAATTGATATTTTATTCCTTGTTGAGTGGAGATTAAATATTATTTAATATATATTTTTTAATTAAAGCAATTTTTCTTGCATTCAATTTTTATAGTGAAGTAAAATTTGTACCTGATAAGCAGTCTGGGAAGTTTATATTGACTATCATGTTTTAAAGAACTTAGGGTTACTTTTTCTGACTCAGGTTAATGGACTCATAATATTTAAAACACTTGATTCTAAACAGGGGATGGAAGAGCACAAGGGATTATGGTGATGATTCACAGGTGATGTGGTGGTGGGAGAATTATGGGGAGTATACCTGAAGAGAGAAATCAAATACTGTACAATAATGAACAAAGATATAAGAAAATAAGTAAGTTTAATTAAAAAAAGAAAAAAGAATAAATAAAAGAAAAAAATGAATAGACTTCTCCCAGCACAGAGCTCTTTACACACAACCTCACAAATGCTAACTGTTCTCATTCCTTTGGAAAAAGGGTTTAAAGAGGTGTGTGGAATCAATGGAATTCTTTTTTATTTTGCAAAGAATAAATAAATAAAGCACTTGATTCTGACAGCTAAAAATATCACAGGTTTTAATAGTCTTTGATGTTGATATCTTCCAAATCTGAATCTATCTTTATTTTGCTTTAAAACAGAATAAATAGTGTAGTAACATATGCCTGAAGAGTGACATCCTATATTTCTTTTTTTTTTTAAAAGATTTATTTTTTTTTATTTATACAATTGCTGGGATACAGGTCAGAAGCACAGGAGGGTGAGAGGATTCACCAGAGACAGAGTGGGGAGCAGAACAGTCAGACAGACTGAAAGCACTGCTGAGCGGAGCAACGAGCGCGACAGGAGAGGTCTGCCACGCCATGTGGGAATCTCCCTGGCTGGCTGGGAATCAAACCAGCACTGCAGAAGCTACGGACAGCTTCACAGCACTGTGCTCAACCCCCTGCGCCACCGTGGAGGCCTACATCCTATATTTCTGAATCATGGGGCAAAAATTATTTTACAAGGATCTAAAAACCATGTTAAAAATACATTGACAAGGGGGAGTTTCTAAGATTTGTTCTTCTAAGCCTAATAAGATAGGCCCAGATTTTTTTGTTTGTTTGTTTGCAAACTATAGTCTACTAAATAGTTGGAGTAAATTTCTAGTCCAGGGCTCAGTTATTTCATCAAGATCAATCTCAAATTTGTTGTGTCATGTGCCAGACAGAAAATGAGAAGTCCATTCCTAGCTCTCCTAAAAGAGTCATTAACCTTAAGACCCTTTTCCTAGGCCTTTGCTTTATTTTTGAGATAAAACAATCTATCATGGCCCTTTCAGTGGCCACCCTGCTCTCTTATCACCAGGATAAACAGATATGAGGTTTGGGTTTTGGTTGATTCAGCTTTCTTGCTGCCTTTGCTTTGTCCCTTATTCAGTTTGAGAGTGACAGTTGTTCTCTTGCCCTCAAAGTTCTAAAATCTAGTACTTGGAAAGTAGAAAACAGTATAAATTTGTGAAAACCTTATGGACAAAATAGAACTGTTCAGTGGCATAGGGTTAATCATGGAAACCAGAATAAAGCAGCCTCTTGGAGAGCAGAAAAAAGACCTATTTGGTGACTAAATTGGCCTGCAGGTGCGGGCCCTGAATCCGAGGGGAATTTTGTGATTTACAGCCTGTTGACATCTCCAGACAGACAGGAAGCCAATGAATCGTATTTAAGTGTTCTTTTCAGGACTGGCTGACTGTACTTTAGGCAGCTTGAAGTATTCAAAAGCCAATGTAAGCAGAGATTTGGAGCTTAGTGCTGATTTTCTATATTCAGTGGCATAGCTAATTTTTAGCATTCACAGATAAAGAAAAATCTCCAGGGCAAGTTTTTCTATGCATGTCTTTGTTACCAATTTCATTCAAATTTAGGCAACTTTGTTTGTGACATAGAGTGGAGTCTGCTGTTACTCTAATATGTTTCTTATTATTTTACTTTGTAAAGCAAGCACAAGCTATGCTATCTGTTCCTGAAAGGTGGCAAGAGTCCATCTACAATTAAAGATGAAATCATATTTTCCAATTGACTTGATTTAATCTTTCAAATATGGTGTTTTCACTTATGATTGACTTTTAATTGGCTGTGACTTCTAGTGTGTTAAATTCCTCAAGCCTCACGGCCAGTTTATGTTATTCTCTTAAGAACATTAAACATAACAAAATGGTATACTTTAATGGAACTAAGAATCCAAAGTGGTTTAGATGATTGCCTGCCAAAGTCCATCCTGTGAGTTAGCAGTAACACTGGCTTTAAAACTTCTTTGCTACAGACTGACATTTTTTTCTGACATTCCATAATTCTAGGAAAATCAACTTGAAGAAAGCCTCTAGCAAGTTCTCTTGTAAAGAATACTTGCATGACTAATAATACAAATAATAGTAGGGTGTTACATTATTTCATTTGGTGGTAGAATATATTGAAAAAATTAAAACTTTGACAAAATTTCTTTAATGCTGCAGTTCCCTAGTCAGGTAACCAGTGATGTATCAAATAATCTATCAACAGTGATCTCAGAGTTATGTCAGACTCTGTATTAAGCATGTAATCAATACTGTGTAATCCCTTCTAATGATATTAAAGCACAAGAATTAGAATTTCCAGGGCTTCCTTGGTGGCCTAGGAGTTGGATTGCAGTGCTGTCACCACTGTGACCTGAGTTCGATCCCTGGCCAGGGAGCTAACCCACATGGCGCGGCAAACCTCTCCAGTCTCACCCACTGCTCCCCTTAGCAGTGCATTTCAGTAAATCCACCTGCTCTGCTCCCCACTCTGTCCCTGGTGAATCCTCTTATCCCAGCACCTCTGACCTATACCCCAGTTCTTCTACGCAAAAAGAAAAAAAAAATTAGAATTTCCTTTTTACAATGAGGTAAAAGTGAGGCTCAGAAATGTTGTATATCAATAGGCTCAGCTGGCCCAGTCACAGGAAACACAGTCCATACCAGTTGCCTTTGTAAGTTTCTTCTTCCTCTTCCCTCCGCTGCCACAGCTGTACTCCACGACAGGTCGTTTTTGTTGCTACTTCCTGATAGAAAACAGACTCCGAGAGGTTAAGGATCTGTTAAATTTAAAGAGTAGTTTAATGGCACAGTTAGTTCAAGTCTACCTCATGGAAGAATGCTAAACCAACCTCCATGTGAGTTTGTTGGTACTTGTGAACAGAAATGAGATGCTGGATAGAGTTCTGCATAATTAATGAGTATTAGAAATTAAAAAAATACTTGTTTTAGTTTGGGGCATAGCTTAATGTCTTCTAGGAGAATGTCTGAAGTGGGGGGAGAGCATTATGGACTACATTAAATATCTACATATTTTATTAAAATGATAGGCATCTAGAGATCCAAAAACAATGAAACCAAATTTTTCCTGGGAAGTTAAAATTATTATATAAAAGTACAGGATTTTTTTTTCATTCAAACAGTAGCTATTAAGTACCTACTGTGTGCTAGGATCTATGTTAGCTGTGGAGTATGCTGGGAATCTGATAGAGGAGGTATCTACTGTTAGAAAATTTGCTGTCTAGGGCCTCCCTGGTGGTGCAGCGGTTGAGCGCTGGACTGCGAAACCGCCTGCAGCCTCTGCAGCGTGGGTTTGATCCCTGGCCACTGGAGAGGGTCCCACATGGCACTCAGACCTCTGCTGCCGCGCTTGCTGCTCCCCTCAGCAGTGTACTTCTGCTCACTGCTCTGGCTCTGGTGAATTCTCTCACCCTCCTGCACTTCTGACTGTACCCAGTGCTTGTATAAATAAATAAATAAATAAATCGTTTTTAAAAACATTAAAAATTGTCTGTTTCCACTAATTTCCCATGAATTGGATAATATGTATAAAAGGTTAGAAATATGAAATTTGGTACCTATTTCTTTTAGCTAATGATTAATATAACTAAAAATTATTCCATCTCCTGAAGGCAGTTCTCAAAACAGCAATTTTCAGTTGAATTATGCCAGTTAAAACTGTTTTCTACTGAATTCTAATGATTCCTCAGCTCTCAAAGGGGACCTGATACATGGCATCCAACCCTATCATCTATTTTCTGAAAAAAATGAGAAACAAAAGTAAAAAGAGAGGCAGATGGAATGTCAAATGTCACCTTGATAACCAGTAAGGTCCAAGTTGGTAAACATGCTTAGTATCTTAACTGAGCACAGAATTAGGCCAATAACTCTTTAATCATAAGCGAAGATGTATCAGAGTGGGTGTTACTAGGGAGGCCTCCATGTACGTTGAAGGAGGGTAAACTGAGTCAAGCACACTCAATTTGTTCTTGGATTTACCATTTTGATATATCCCTTCATCTTGTTGGAGCCGAGTGAGTAATAAAGGAGAAAAGCCAGGAATTAAATCATTTCAGTATCCCCTACAAGAACAAAACATCAAAAGCAGGGAAATTCTCCTCCTTGGAAGTGTATCCTGAACACATGTGTGATGATATCTGTTGAAATAGCAAATCATTAGAACAGGACAGTAATCTAAGTTTATACTGAGTAATGTTTTAATATACTTTACACTTTAAAAACACTGGACTTACTGTTAGCGTATTTATTCTCTGTAGCTTTTTTTAAACTATGTATACTATTGATAACCCATTTTTTTAATCTCCTATTGATTCCCTCTCTTTTCTAACATGTGATTTAACTGATTAAAATGTCAGAGAAAAATGGTATCAGCCTTGAAGTCAGAAAACCTGTAATTGTGTCTTTGTCCTGTTCTTGGCTAATTCTAGCCCTTTTCTAGACCTGTAACTCTTATCTGTAAAAAGATGGTGTTTACTAGGTAATCCTTGAGGTCCTTCCCACTCTCAAATTCTGGAATTATCTTTGGCCTCTTCCATCAAGGTGTAATTGTTATATATTGAGTAGTACACAGAAATTTCAAATTAAGCCTAAGAAAAATATGATTTCAGGAAAGAAGAGTGTTAATAACTATCTCTTTCTTTCTTTGAACCTCTATGGCATCTATAATTTACAACACACAATTTTTAAGTGTTATTCTAAATTATTTCTATGCTTCCTCTTCTTCATTTTCCTTCCCAGTAACACTATACATGCTTCATTATGTTGTTCTTAAGAGCATAACCTAAGATACTATAGCCCCACACTGCATTGTTCTAGGCCTGTAGGAAGTATACAATTAGCAGTAAATTTCTTCACAGTTAAATCATTTAAGGATGTTTATTTGGGAGGATTGTGGTTTTCAAACTTGATTCCAACTCTGATTTTCTTTCCATCTTTACAAAGCTTGTGTTCAAAATAGGAACTCAGTGACAACACAAATATCATTAAAGTTAGCAAATCTGAAAGCTGGGGAATAAATTTTACATTTTTCTTTGTGTTATTAATTCATCAATATATTGCATGTGATAGTTTTATTTACTCTTACCTTGTTATGTGATTGCTTATATATGTGCATATATATATATATATATATATATATATATATAGTAGATGTGTTTTTCACTGCAAAAAAGATGCCAATTTAAGCACATTACAATGCCAGAAAAAGGTAATGTTTGAAAAAGTCAGCAATTTGCTCCTCAGGTGTTCACAATCAAATGTGACAAATAGTAGTAAGTGTGTGATTATTAATTATGTATGTGTGGTTTGGTATATTTCAAAAGGTATGGTGTGGAGCCTCCTGGATTGATAAAATTAGAAAAAGAGATTGAACAAGAAGAAACACTTTCTGCCCCTTCTCCTTCACCTTCTCCTTCATCAAAATCTTCTGGAAAAAAGAGTACAGGAAATTTACTGGATGATGCAGTAAGTATACTTGGCCAAATTTCTTACTAGCAATCATTCTTTTTTGAACTTCAAAACTTGTTCTATACAATCTCTTATCAGTCTATATAATATTTTATCAGTCTAATCTTTGCCTATGCCTAGTTTAACTTCATTGAAATTCATTTTAAAATCCTATGAATGTTTTTGTAATACTGTGATTCATCTTGAGATTCAAAAACTGAGTTAGTTATTTAAAATAGAGTCTCAATTCTGTTGAATAATGTCTAGTATAGGATAAGTCGACATCCAGAAAATTTCTTGAAAACACTTAAGCCTTGTCATTGGTTTACAATTCCTCTTCTCACACAGAGGAAACCTGAGGCATGAGATCTTGAAGACTGTTAAAGAAGGAAAAGCTAACACACTGCAGAGAAAATAACCAGCCTTTGCAGCCTGCCCACTAGGGGTCAGGATCTATCATTGTTTCTCAAGTGCTCTTGCTATCTCTAAAGCAGGCTGCTTTTGAAAGAAACTGAAGCTTAAAGGTTGGGTCATCTGCTGAAGGGAGGAGAGGAGTTTAAATTCCCAATCAGATTTGTCTGACTTTCTGAGGTTGCTGTTCCCTCTACTTAGCAGAGCCTTTGAGCCATAGTCTTTGAAAAACTAGGGAATATTATACCTTCATGAGCACAGAAAATAGATTCTGAGTATAAGAGCAAACAGGATGAATTCAAACTCTCTGACTATCTCTGCTGGTAAGTAGTTCTTGATTATAGTAGTGTGTTTGATTATATGTATGTATTCACCCCCAACACATACGTTTAGAGCAAATGCAAAAAATACCTATGTATCATAGAAAATGGTAACCTCAAAAATATTAAATTGAAATATGTGTCACCTAAGATCTAGCACCAACCATTTGGCTAGTGTGGAATAGATAAGATTGAAAAGCATGGCAGGTCTACATTTGAGAGTTTCCCTCTCTGAGGTCTGAGCTGAAAAGAGCTGGGATAATGGTTGATAATGGCTACTGGGTGCACAAAGACAGATTCCCCATCTTTTGCTTTCCTCCATGTGACACTATACCTTACAGATTTAAATTATCAAAACTGTAATGATATGTCTGGCAGCTTGAGAATTCCCATTATTGCAAAGGGCAGCAAGTTTCATCTCTTAGCCAAAGCTAGTTTAATTTAGTTTTCTTTTGTTTGGTCCACATAAAGACTAGGCAGGGAATTTTAATATAATGCCCCCTAAAATGATTTTTAATTCACTGTTCTTAAGGGTCAATGTTTAATTCTATTCTCAAGAATCAACGATGTGCGTTGCTTGTCATAATATTTCATTTTTATTTTCTACGAAAATTGAATAACATACTGTACTAATAGCAGATAATGATTGGTGCATTTGTATGTTGATGAGAACAATTTTTTCTGCTCTCTCTTTTTGATTAAATTTATATTGGAGTAAGATGTTCCTTTAGTCTTTCCCTTGTGAATGTGTTTCTCTGAGGCTGCTACACCGGATCTTGTTCTTTCTCCCCTCAGCCATCACCTCTCTTCATTTTCTTTAATATGTTACAGTCAGAGTTCTGGCCAGTATCATATTTAACCTCCTAATGAATGAATTACTAAATCAAATGAACTATTTTTAGCCCTCAAGTTATGAGACTATTTCTGGTGTTGACAATGTTGAACATTCTGATCTGAAATTCTTCTCCATAAATGTTATTTTAATAGAATTATCAACCTATGTGCCGTTCAGATTTGATTAAAATTATGAGTTCCCTGTAACATCCAGGGTAAAACCAAACTCACTTGTTTCACATATATCCTCCATATTCTGGTCCACTGAACCTTTCCAGACTTTTTTGCCCTACTCCGCCTCACATTTCAGTGTATCTATTATAAACATGCCTGCTCACCCCAAATTCCTGAGGACATTTTAATACCCTGAGTTTTTCCTCACTTGGCTTTCTTCATCATACTTTGCCTACCCAACTTTTCAGTCCACTTTCAAATACCTTTTTACCTTGTAAAATTCAGACCTATATAGATGTTTTCTTGGCCTGTCTCCTCCCAGGTAAAAGTGACAAATTCTTCCTTGGTACTCCAAGTATTTTTACATATTTAATAAGGTGTTTACCTTATTAGGCATAAATACTATTCTCTTACAGGTGTATTTCTTGTTCTCAAAGACAAGGACCATATTTTATTAGTTTGTATCTAAACAGTACCATGCTTACTGAATAAATTTCCAATAGATGATTAAAGTTAAAGCCTTTCTCTTTTTTCTACTTATACGGAATGCCCACGCACACTGAAAATATGTACACTTCTCACTTATGCTGTAGCTTTTCAGAGGGAAGAGATTGTTGCCACTTAAAGACATTTACAGGAACCTGGTAGAAGCAGCTAGAAGAGTTCACTTTCTTCTGCAGTTTGTCTCATGTGACCATCTCTCATCCTTGAAAACGGGGGGAAAAGGACAGGAGGGAGAAGGTGGTGAAGCATCTGTGAAGGCATTTGGAAAAGTTTTTCTAACACCCCAGTTCAGAAGAAGTAGAAAGAGATAGATGTCTCTTCAAATAACAAGACAGTTACTCCCTTACTACTAGTCCTTTCAACTGGAAACAATGGAGGGAATTTCAGGAGAGCTTACAACCTCCTTTCAAATTAAGGGGTTTTACCTGAATGTAGGAAATATGCAAAGTGGATATTTCTGTACTATTGCCAGGTAGAATATTGTGTTCTGAAGTCTTTAAGCTAGCATATCTTAATATGTAATCAAACACTAAGACCATCAGGTACCCAGTGGGAATAGAATTCCGTGGGTAGGGCTCCCTGGTGGTGCAGGCAGTTGAGCGTAGCACCATGAAGCTGTCCGCAGCCTCTGCAGCGCAGGTGTGATCCCGGCTAGCCAGGGAGATGCCCACATGGCGCAGCAGACCTCTCCTGTCTCGCCCACTGCCCCCTTCTGCAGTGTATTTCGTCAGTCTGCCTGTTCTGTTCCCTACTCTGTCTCTGGTGAATCCTCTCACCCTCCCACACATCTGGCCTGTACCCCAGTTCTTGTATGCATAAATAAAATAAATAAATCTTTAAAAAAAAAGAATTCCATGGTTAGTTTAGTTTGACTATATGGTTTACTATATCGTCCTTACCTGGAGATTGATTGCAAAGCGCCTTGGCATATCAAAGGCACTAGTGAGGTACATAATAAGATTGTATTTAACCTGAATTTCCCAAATATTTTGACCACAGAAGTCTCTTAGTCTCCTTCATTCTATGTTGTGGAAATTATATCGAAATATTTGCATTCTGTTTACTGAATGATTTTTCCAGTGAAATGTTTTATTTCAAAGAGAGAGAAACCAAAAGAAAGGTGAGTTGAGCCTCATGAATGTCTTAAATCAGGGCCTCATATGTCAAATATAAAAAGGAAATAACTCCACGGCAACTGCTTAACATATATGAGGCATATATAACCACAGGGGAGTCAAAGTTCATTTAATTCAACATTTTCTTTCGAGAGATTAAAAATAGAGATTGCTTGCAAAGTTCCTGCATTTACTTAATACTTTTGACTATCTCTCCTGGCAAAGTTATTATCTCTACCAACACAAAATTAAACTAAAAAGGCGGCTAAGAATGGATTGTTAAAAGAAGGGGCAAAAAGTAACAGAAAAGAAAAGATAGAATAAAGAAAAAAGTTCAAGAGAACAAGAGAAGAAGCAGACCTGTGATAAAAACAACATTGTCCAGTGAACAGTTTCAACCATAATTGCGGTTTTAAAACTGTTTTTTTCACATTTCCCTATTTGATACTTATGGAAATTGAAGAAAATTGAAAAAAAAATAAGTGACATGTGTATATCCCCACCTTCTTTAATCCAACTATCATAAAAGAAACACAGTGAATTACATTCACATTAGTTTATTCTCCAGATGTGCTGATAGATGATTCGGCTGTGATGAAACAGTGAGGTCGGATTGAGTTCTCCTGTTTGCATTCCCTTGTGTTGAGCTAGTTCCCACACAATGAGTTGACTGCAGTTCTAAGAAACCTTTCTTACTTTCTTCCTCTTCTCCATCAACTTCCTCGGTCTGGGGATGAGAGATAGTATAATTCTGAGTAATCAGGCTCCTCTTGAAATCCCATTTCATCAGAAAACTGGCTGGGTTCCTAGCCAAAGACAGAACACCTGGCCGACCGACTTATCCAAAGGTAATGTAAGAAGCACAGATGTCATCGGCTCTGTTTACTTAACAATCTATTTCCACTACCCACAGTCTGGCTTTGTCTCGTCTCTTTCTGCCTCCACTTCTCACAAGAATACAAAAAAGCCTTTGATTTTAAAAATAAAGTCCCATTTTGCAAGTGTGGGAATGCATTAGAGAAGGGCAGGCCACTTTAAAACATGGTTTTATGTGTTTTACTGTTTGATACCAATAGTTCCTGGGTTTTCTCTAAATACTTCAAGATGGAAATACTGTCCTCCATAAATACTTTTTCTTAGCATTGGAACCATGCAAACACCAATTTACTATTTGTTTAATTGCTACATAATAGTAAAGCCATACCCAGCATGACCCTAGTAAAGTTTGGGTCATGTATTCTATGAAACTGTCTGATTTTCTTCTGGATGGGCAAAGCCAAGTTTCTCCCTGTCTCCTTTCCATTATAGTTTCTTTTCTCATGGAAACCCTTACTGTAGTAAAAAGGAAAATCTGTAAACCTCTTCAAGCTATGATAGAATGTAAACATAAATTATACGTACACACATTTATATTTTTAAAACATTTTTATAAATACATTTTATAAATACATATATATAGAGAGAGAGAAACACTGAAAATAACACCCACATACACACATATTCATTGGTCCCATCACCCCACTCCTACCCCGAGAATGTGTTTCTATATCATGGAAGGAAATGACACTATCATTACTCAGCTTTTGTACTTTTTGTTCCAATGCCACCCTCCCATTCAGGAATATTCCTTCAAAAAAATACCTAGGGACAGAATTCTGTTAATACTGGGGGAGTGGTGTATATATCAATGGACTAAGTATAATATAATGGGAAAAAAATTAGAATTCAAAGTCATGGTCCTCATCACTAACGGTGATGTCAGTCAGTTCCCTCAGTTTTCAATGAAAGCCATTCACTAAATTTCCTTGAATCCAGTCTTATTTTGTCACAGTGATTTCCCCCATAGCCTACACAGTCAGTGTTCTTATTCATACATTCATTTATTTATTCATTGTGCACTAACTGAACATTTGTGCCATTTAGGAATTTTACTTTATATCAAAGATTTAAAATGGTAATGAAATATTGTCTGAGCCCACAATGCATCAGACATTAATGATAAACAATAACATGTAATTTGCTATGATTGAAGTAAATACCAAGAATTTAGTTTTATTTGTTGGAATGAGGAGGGGTGGCAGAAGGAACTCAAGAAAACATGTATCCTGAAGTTAGTTCTCTTCTTGCCCCCTGGCAATAGTGGTTACTCTTTGTATCTCTTCACTAAGGCATAATTGTATAGTCTTCAAAGTTAGTTTTTTTCAGTAATCCATCTGTTCTTGCTTTCCTTCTAGTGTCTTATGCTTCCTTATTCTTTGGAATCTCTTATAACCTAGGAAACCAAGCTGTTTAAGTCCTTCATACCTACGTGCAATTGAGTTTACATGTTACTTTTAACATAGTTTTGTCTTTTGAGAGGGTTGATTGAAATCAGACATTGAATTGTTTGAAGAAATAATTGAATTTCTTTGATGACAAATCTCTAGGAATCATATCTTTGGGGAATGAAGAATTTGAGTGAGGGTAATCCAGTCCATTTTCTTCATAGTCTAAATTTGTTTTATCCACCTTCTCAAATGCAGACTACACATTGTTTAGATTGTTCTGTTTCTTCCTTTGAAAATTTTTCCAAAGCACAGGACATTCTTGTTTTGGGGTTGTTTAGTTGAAGAGAGGACAATCATGAGTCATAGTAAGTTCTCAGTGAAGGTAAACATAAAAATAAACCTTATTTCTAAAATCATAGACTATATATTGTCTTCTAAAAGCCACAACTATTTATAAGCATTGTAAATGTGCCATTTAAATTGTATTTTTAGGCAGTGGGGAGAATCTATAGAGATAACCTGATATTCCGACACAAATTCCATAAAATACCTACAGTCTGTTAGACATGGGCACAGAGGTAGGTTTTGGTGGGTGGTAATTACTGGGGTGGAGTGACTTGTTGGATTAATCTGGGTGAATTATAGATGACTTCTTAGAGAAAGTCTTAGAGTTCAAAATAAGAAAAAAAAATAGTCTCATTTTAGAAAGAATTGTTTAATTGATGTTTATTTTGAAAATGGGTAAAACCAGTATCATTAAAATAACATATAATCTGTGTTCACATACAATCTATTCTAGTTTGAAACATATTTATCTTGGCATATTTATCTTGGCAACCCAATACACGTGTTTTGTTTTGTGTTTTGTTTTTTTTTTTTTAGTTCTCCAAAAGTGAGAAGCCAGTTCATCTTTCCTGAACTGCCAATTGGTTTACGCATAGTCTCCTCCAGCATCACTATCTTTGTCATCATCTAGTTTATGTTTTAGTGCAATTATTGTCTATCAGAAAATGCATCTAAGGTCTAACCTTTATGTAGTGAGGATTTAATGTGATCTCTGTGCTCATGTCATAGCCATAGTCTGATGGAGAACAAATTTAGAAGCACTATTGCGCAAAGGGCCTTTCAATGCCTAGAACAAATTAGTCTAAGTGGGACCTGGTTAAGGAGCATTAACTTGCCAGCTCTTCTATTTCAGGTAAAACGGATTTCTGAAGATCCTCCTTGCAAATGCCCAAACAAGTTCTGTGTGGAGAGACTCTCTCAAGGAAGATATCGAGTGGGAGAAAAGATCCTCTTCATTAGGGTAAAGTTACACTTTCACCTTACTTCTTGTCACTTGTGGGATTCTTTGGGATTTGAGGTGGGGTTAGAGGGAAATATAACCAATAACTAAGGAGCTTCCCTAATGATGCTTACAGTTGCATTTGAAGATATGAAGAATTAACATTTTCCAGTGCACGAGGCATAATCACTACCTAGGACTAAATAAATAGAATATCTTTCTCTTATATATGCACAAACATGGAGATCAAATAAATGGGAAAAAAATTTCTTTTTTGTTTATACATTCAATTGCAAAGCAGCTAACCTCTCCACCTCTACCCACCATCAATGGGAAATAAAAACAGTATTTTGCCCTACCCTATATCTCAAGTTCTGGAAATGGCCATTCTTTTGGTCCTGGGTAATTTCCAGGTTATTTGAACATGATTATTCATGAAATTTGGATTATGAACCAGAGTGAGGAGAATGAAAGTTCATTATAGTAGCGTGATTAAATGGTGATTACTATTTCTAAGTTAGTTTTCTGGGTTAGAATAAATGAGTGTGAAGCTATGCCAATGAATGACTTTGTGGTCTCCAAATTTTACACATTTGGGCATCTCCACTTCACAATCATCCATGTTTAAATCCTAATTAAATATCATGAACAATTTTAGTTGTAATTAGTGACTAAGCAAAACGAAATTCCAGGTCTTTCATTTGTGATGTTTTGTTCATAATCAAGGGACTTTGATCTCTCAAAATAAATTGTGACTTTTGCTAAGACCAAGTATTATTTTCAAAAGTAAGAAAATGAAATATATAGCTTAGGTATATTCCTAGAATAATGCAATTAGATATAAAAATTTGCTATCTTATTTTTAGTCATTTGCTAAAAGAACAGTGGTTTTGATTCAAAGGAGCTATATTCTTTTCTCATTTGAATATGTTCCACAAACCCTGTTTGTTGTTTTATAGAATGATTTGCATTTGTACATCTAGTCCAGTCAATGAACATTCTTAGCAATACTCAAATCAATGAAGACCCAGTAGAAATTTTGCCAGTGTAATATTTTCTTAATTTCAACTTTTGACTGAAAACTTATTTGTATAATGTCCTTTTTTAAGACTCTGCAACATGGTATTTGAAGAAAAATCTTATCATTATTAGCCTTAAAAGTGTCAGTCATTTTGTATTTTAACCTACTTTTAGGTTAATGTTTACTGATTTGAAAAAAAATTCTATGTAATAATTGCTCTTCTATTTGAAATGGCAATGAAAAGGGAAAAATGGCATGCTATTATTAAAGATTTAAGAACAAGGACCTTCCTGTTGGCACAAGGGGTTAAGTCTCAGCACTATGAAGCCATCAGCAGCTGCTGCAGCATGAGTTCGATCCCCAGCCAGGGAGCTAACCCACATGGCACAGCAGACCTCTCCTGTCTTGCCCACTGCTTCCCTCAGTAGTGTAGTTCAGACAATCTGCCTGCTCTGTCCCCACTCTGTCTCTGGTGAATCCTCTCACTCCCGCACCTCTGGCCTGCACTCCAGATCTTGTATGTATAAATAAATAAAATAAATTAAAAAAAAAAAAAGTCTTAAGAACAAATCAGAGAGATAATGGCTTCCCAGAGATATTTGCCCCAGCCATCACTTATTGTCCTTTGTATTTTATTGCAAGGATAACATACCTAAAATGTTTGTTTTAGCCAAGCTGCCTGCTTTCACTTTAGTATATTAAAAAAAAATGATTTATTATCTCCACAAAAGCATTTAAATTTTACTGAGTTGACATTTCTTACTTGAGACTCAAACTTCTGTAGAATATTAGGCCCGAGAGCCAAATAAAAACACAGGATTTTGTTTAAGTACTTATCCCTTATCTTTTAGTAGAAGTGTTGACAAACCCAAGATTAATCAACTTCATATTTACCTTTTAACAAAATGTAATATCTTTAGATAATAATATAAATTGCATATATTTACTTATAGTTAGTCTTCCATATTTAATCAGTTGTCCACAAATTTATTATCTATATTTATGAATAATATACATTTATGTAGCATTTAACATTTAAGATGTTTTTTGATGTTCAATTTTTCTTTTAGGAAAATGTTTTCCTTTGGTATAATATACCTATGTATTATTTATAGAGGAATTGAAATTTGCCACCAGGAAGCAAATGATTTTAATTATAAGCTAATGAATGGTAAAAGAGGAATTCAAGACCAAACTCTTGAATTTATGTTCTTTTAATGGGAAACAATACTGATTTCCTTATCTGTGATTATCTGGGATGTCTTGGAAAGTTTAATGCAGGTGATCTATTCATCCCTAGAGTGAGCTATACTATGTAGCATTTTCCATATGTATTTGTCCATAAAAATGGTTCCTCCTCACCATTTTTTTTTCCAGCGTATCATCCTGGGCTAGAATGACATGAAAACATCTTTGGGAAAGACATTATCAATTGAAGTGAGTTTAAAAATGAATTTGTAACATAGAATAATCTTGAATTAAAAATTTTCTACATCTTTCCTGAGTTAAAAACCCATATAGTTTTACATACTAGATATATAGTGTTTGTATTCATTTTTATCATTAAGTTCCATTTGGAAAGATAATTATCAAGAACTAGAAGGATGATGCTAAACCAAATAATTCATAAGGACAAAGACAAATACTGGATTATTTCTCCCGTATATGGACTATAGAAAAGCAAAAACAAATAGACAAAACTAAACCAAATAAACCCTAGAAATTGTAGAATTGAGTCTACCAGAGAAGGAGAGCTGGGGTGAGTGACATAGAGGGCAGGGTGCCCAAGGAACTACGGTGGAGGACTGTGGATGATTTGGTAGGGGGTGTGGTGCAGTAACATACGTCTTCAGTGATGTGAACCTATACCTCTACATCATATACAGTGTTGTAAGCCAACGTTACCTCAATAAAAAAAAGGATACAATAATTTTTTTAATAAAGAAAAGACAGCTAAAATTTAATAAGAATTATTTGTGCCAGACATTTTATCAATACCAGGTGCCTTATGTACTTATATAATGTCTCATTGAATCCTAACATATTCCACTCCAGGCTGCCCTCTATGTGGCATGTTCATTAAATTCAAGCATTTTGTTCACAAGGTTAGTGCTCTAAACAGGATCTGCACCTCTAAACAATATATTTAGGGTTCAGTTATATAATCATGTGTTCCTTACAGCATTTTTACATTAAAAATAGTCAGAATGCAATGAGCATTACACTGGCAAAATCAATAATCACTACTATAAAGAAATCAATATACTTATCTGACTGTGTTACAATAGTCATAAGATTATAACAATATTTATTAGGTGTTTACTGTATACCATATACTGCTCAAAACAGTTCATATGACCTATCTCATTAGGCAAGACTAATTAGAACTCTGTACATCATATATTTTTTAATCTGTCCTCATATCTTTTTAATAGACATCAGAAGAAAATTCTTCATTGCTAGTATTGTTTTGTTGAGTTTTTTTTTTAATAATTGTAGACACTTTTTAAAGTGGATTAACATTACTTCAAGACATTTTTGTAGCAACCCTTTATGGATGGGTAAAATCATCCAGTGTTTCATGCTATCGCTGCAATGGTTCTGAGATTCTTTTTCACACTTAAAGAAATGTGGCTATTTAAGGAACCTAAAGAAAAGGCAATGAATAATTTAACTGGAGGTCAACAAAGGGATGTAAAATGTTATGAAGTCATCTTCTTTGTACTACTTTTGAATTAAAAATCATTTCAGATCATGAGAAAGGTCACAGGCATTGTTATTGATTCCTTGTAATTTTTTCTTTACCATAAAAATTCTTCAGGGTTATTCCTGTGTGGCAAAATTCAACTCACAGTAACAAACCAAGCAAGAGAGGCACCAGAGCTCTGTTGCTATAGCAACCAAACCTGGCAATGTCTTCTGGGATTGCTCTAAGGGAAGGTCCAATGATAGTCAGCGATATTGCTTTCTTTCCTGCTCTTATGACACATATTGATTTACTGTGAGTAAAAAGTACCCTGGCTCAAATCGCATACATTTTCTGCTAATGAAAAACAGACTGTTGTGTAAAAATGCAAAGGAGTTTTAAACAAATAGTATGGAGATTAAAACTTCATTTATCTTAGTGGAGACATTGCAGAAACAAACCAACACTCAGCAACTGAATGCTGAAAATTCACTTTTTAAAGAACATGAATAAAAAACCTCTCATCTAATTTAGTTATTTATGGAAGCAGTGTTTTTGTTTTCAAAACCAATGGTTTATATTTATTTATAGGGAAAAATATATGGTCACATTTGCTTCTGACATATGTAAAATCTCAGACATTTAAAGTGCTCTGATCCACGGTGGGAAATCTGTCTGTGATTATTAGCATACTACTATTTCCATACTGATTCCTTTTGCTCAGCTGTCTCAAAACAGAACACTAATTTAGGGAAAGCAAGCAACACAATGTTGCAAATGGATTGAAATGCTTTGATTTCACATTTGAATTATTTTTCATAGCATTTTTGCCCCATTCAAGATACTCCCATTTGTGGAAATGTTTTCATGTTCAATGGGTTTGTGCTAATAACATGGTTATAATTTACAATTTGGTAACATATCTCTCAAAGGACTTTACAGATGTTAATCAATCCTCTTAACCTCTTCTCTCTGAGAAAGGCATATATCTTGGATGAATGCAAAATAAGTAAATAATGATTAACCATGGTGCTAATGAATTCAGCCGGTAGGTAGGTTGTTGTTTTACTGAGATTTACCTTTGAGATTGAAAAATGTCGTAGAAAAATTTAAATGAGGCTTTGTCCAAGAATGTACTCCACACTACATTAGATACTACTATTGAAAGCAAGGGATTTATATATAATTTGATCTGTCTTACAACAATGGAAAGATTAGCCAATGTATTTGGCAAGTATGTATATCCTTACTTAAGTTAGATAATTCATTTGTTTTCCTTTCATTGAATTTTTTTAAAGATTTATTTATTTAAGA